CTGAGATGCAGTGACAGCAGCCTTGCTCTCCTCCGCCTCTTCCCCAGAGGCACATCCGTGCTTGGCCCGCTGCAGGGATGGCACGGCTTGGTCCGCTGCAGGGACGACATGCAGCCCTAACCCAGAGGCTCCTGGCTGAACCTCTGGGCTGCCTCTTCCCCAGAGCCACATCCGTGCTTGGCCCGCCGCAGGGATGGCACGGCTTGGTCTGCTGCAGGGACGACATGCAGCCCTGACCCAGAGGCTCCTGGCTGAACCTCTGGGCAGCTTTGTAGGTTGCTCCCCATTTCCCCGGTCCTGCTGGGGCTCTGATTTTTAGATCAGCATGTTTCATTGTCCGGAGCAGCCGCGGATCGGGCAGGCAGAGCTCGCTTCCTGGATACAAGGGCTATTTTAAACCACACGTGCTTGTGCTCACAGCTCTGCTTGCAGACCTCCATCCCACCGCTCCGGACAGCTCGTTTGCACACAATAGAGTGAAGGGACAGAGGCCAAAAAGACATCCTGTGGGCTGGGGAAGATGAAGTAAGGATGAAGAAGCAGAGCAGAGGCTGGGGAAGGAAGAGAGCACAATAAATCACCTGCCCTGGAGATTTATGTGCCCTGGCATGACTTTGAGACCCTTCCAGGGAAGTACCCTGGGATGGAGCCATGTGCATCCCCCTGGGCAGAGGGCTGGCCGTGGGCATGGTGGCCAGTCCAGCCTGGGGAAAGGCCGAGCGCCCAGGCTGCGGAGAGCTGGGCAAGGCAAGCCCGGCACCAGACCCACACCTGACGTGCAGTTTGTGATGAATCACACAGCGCACTTCCAACTTCCAGCTTGCGTTTTGTGCAAGTGTTAATAAAGGCGATAACAAAAGCAGCATGTGAAAGGTCTTAGTCTCCAGGAAAAGCTGTTTGCGTGGGGTGCAACCAATGCACCCAGCTTCAAACCACCCTGGACCCAACCTGACCACCTCTCACCCCTGCATCAGTGCTGCCACAGGGTATAAAAGCAAGGCTAATGGCTGGCAGAGCCTGCACCCACAAAGGCCGGGGACAACCTTCTCGCTGGAGACCTCCTCGCTGTAGCAGCCATCCTGCCGATGGAGCAAGCAGAGCCAGGTTCTCTGCTTTCGGCTGTGTCTCACGAGGCAGCAGGCTGCAGCAGTGCAGGCAGGAGGCCTCGCCAAGGATGCTCTGGTGGCATGTGCACGACGTATAGGGGAAGGGCGCTACACCGCTATACATCTGTCACGTGAGCCCTGATGTGGCAGTTCAGAAATCAACCCACCCTCTCCCCAGGGGATGATAGATATCAATTTGGAGAAGAGCCACAGCACTAATTTCACATGTAAAGAGCACAACTTTCCACAAAGCATCCAAGAAAGGAGATGGACTTCTAAGCGCTCCTAAAAATAAATGAAAACCACAGATGGCCTTTCAGATAAGGCAATCTAAGCTTCAGGAAAGCCAAACAGCCTACCCGTAATGCTGCTCCCATGATTAACCCCCTCCCACAGTTTCCTTGCCCAGCCAGACGCTGCTGCCGTGGGGCTGACAACTGCCACAACATTTACAGGTGTCTGAGCCCCGAGGGGGCTGCCTTCCACACAGCAGAAATGTGAGGGGGGCTGATAAGAGCTATCCCAGCCTCCGCCCCACCAGCAATTCCAGTTTGCACTGGCGTCACTGGGGCAGGCTTTGGGTCAGCCAGTTTCCCCTCCGGCACTGTGTTTGGCCTCAGATGGGGCTCGTGAGCTGCCTGTCTTGGGAAAGTCAGGTGAGGGTTTTCAGGGCTGGTGGTTCTGGGACCCCGCAAATGTCCCAGCACCAGGGAATACCATCCCACCATGGCCTTGCTGCAGGCAACGGTGCATGACTCTCAGACTAGAGCAGGCGCTCGGGAGCGAAATTTCTTGCAATGAGCTCCAGTCAGCTTCAACTGGGTCACCAGGGATCACTTGTATTACTTTTAGCAGGGTAATTTTATTAATAGCCACTGTTTCTAAGAGTTTCACGCTACTCCAGAAAGTTAGATGAGTGTCATTGTCTCCTTTTGCAGAGGAAAATTTCCATTTTAAAGAACCACCAGATCCTCGAGGCCACCTGGGAAAGCAACAGCTCAGCCAGGAAAGGGTCCCCATCCTTATTCCCAACCCTGAGCTGCCTGTTCACCTCACCTGCCCGTAATGTCCCGAAGGCTACTGCTGCTCCCCTTCTTACCCTGTGCCCCCTTGCAGCCCATGCACCCAGGGCCAAATCCTGCCCTTCCCTTGCACGGCAAGGTGCTCTCCTGTATCAGCCTCCAACTGTGAGTGAAGGGCAGGGCAGATTCACCCCTACTCTTCCCAGGGAAGCATCTGCAGCAGGAAAGAAAACATGGGGAGACTTGTCGTTAAATAATATTTTCCTGCAGTTTCCTCTGACAGCTCAGTAGCAGCTCAGGGCACCAAAGGTGCTTTCCCTAATGTGGAGACTTGACCCTAGAAATACGGCAAATACAGGGATACAGCACAGCACGACCTGAAGCTCTATAGCCCTGCTGAAAAAAAAGCCAGCTGGGAACCAGCGTGAACTGTTAATGCTTTAGCTTAGGGAGAAAATAATCCACAAGCTGAGGGATTTAAGGAGAATTACATTAATTAGAGACTCGATCAAATTAGTCAGCCCCTAGCAGCAGCAGGATTACTCCTGGAGGCCAGCACTTCTCAACATTTTTCAATTAAAGGGCTGCCTCACCTCTTTTAAAAAAAATCCACTGCTCATGTTGCGCAGCAGCTCACTTACGGTTGGCTAAAATAGAGATGTAACTCTCACCACTCCTTTATGGCTTTTATTTCCCTCCACAGTGTTTTTTGGCCTGTGTGGAAATATGATTTGGGGTTTTTTTTACATTTTTCATTTCAAGTGGTTCACATATGACGTGCTTTTGCTGTAAAGCCCCCTAAACGTCCCCAGATCACAGGCTGAGAAGCACTGCTGGAGGCCAAGGATATATCATGTTGGACTATAAATAGACAGATATTTCTGATTATAGCAAGAAAGCAGGGAGAAGAAACAGTGCATGGGAGCTTTGGTCCCAACTGGCCCACTCCTTTTTTTTTATATAGCCTCAGTTTTATAATAAGCACCAGCAAAACAACAGCAATGGGAATGCAAAACAGCAGCAATGGGAACTAGGCAAAGGGTTGTCCCGAGCTGGAGCAGCTCACAGCGTGCTTGCAGGCGCCCATGGCAGAAAAGGGTCTTTGGGAGAGCTGGGGAGATCAGGGAAGAGCTGTGTGAGCCGGCAAGTGCCCTGACCCAATGTAGGCACCGCAGAAAGCTGTTTGTGGCGCAGCATGACCGGCAGCATCCAGGGCAGGGGCATGGGACGGGCAGGGATGCCTCGCGTTGCTTGCCAGAAAACTCTTGAAGGGGTTCAGCCCAAGGGCTACTCCTTGGATTTCTGAGAGTAGCTGAGTTAGAGATAAATGCGCTGTCCTCTGCTGGCCATGAAACAGTTGAATGAAGAAGGTGCCCTCCTCCCTGCGTGAAATATGCTCTGCTGGACTTCCCACAGCTCAGGGACTTTGTCCCGCACAGCGGGACAGACAAGTCCCTTCCCACCAGTGATTTGGTATGTGGGTAATCAGAAGTAGTGGCTCCGAGTGGCCCACTCCTGCTGATCACCTTTTAAACCTGTGGTCTAACATCTGCATTTGTTGGCTGTTTGACCAGCGAGGTGAGGGGGAACACTGCCAGGAAAGTCTACAAAGTCTGGTGTAAAGGTTTTTTCAGGGAACGGCTTAATTTGTTTCAATTCTATCATTTTGACTCCACTATCTCCAGTCAGGAGAGGTGCAGGAGTTTAAGGCCACAGAGACCCAGATGGACATTCTGGGAGAATCTCTCCCGACTCAAAGAGGAGAAAAACAATCTGTGATCAAGAGAAAGAAACTCCTCCAACCGCATGTAGAAATCGAGCCATCGTTTCCGCTAAGCGTGAGCTGAGCCCCTGAGCTACCGCCTTGGCCCCCAGCAGTGCCCCAAGTCTGAATTACTGCAGGCACAACTTGACTGAGCTCCCCTCGGCTGCCAAGCCAACACGATGCCCAGGCACATGATGAAACCCTTAGCTCAAGCGTGATACTACCCTTAATCCATTTTGGCTGGCTATCAAAAGGCATATGCCATTGCTAATGTTCACACAAGTCTTCTATCACTAATACAACTGCTCTGTGGTTACAGACCTAACTCTGTTCAAGTACCATCCTGGACATCTCTCTCGCCACAAAGTCTGCTTGCCAGGAGAAAAACTTCTGGGCTGGCTCATCTAATGGGGACACAAAAGCATCCCAGCAGGTATCTCCAGAAACATGAGCGTTATCTCTGAGCAAGCACAGTCAGCAGGTTACACACACATGCAGGTGCCAGCAGTAAGTGCTGCTGCTTGTGTTCGCCCCATTTCAGAGGGCTCAGTTGCTGAATTTTCCTGGGCAGGGATGTAAATACAGCCTCCTCACCGACTGCAGCTAAACTCACAGATCCAACCACAGATCGGCACACATTCAAGCTGGGATTTGGATTAATGGCTCAGCCTAGCAGCACAGCAGTATCAAAAGCAAACAGCTAATTTGAGACTTCAAGTTGGAGGACTTCAAGTTGCAGTCAGGGAAATCCACTTATTAGTGGCTGATTCAATGAGATTATGGCTAAAACCGACCTCTTGCATTGATGCCCTGAGCTCAGCTGCGCTCTCAGAAGAGCAGCGCTGCACCAGGCCAGGTGCCTGACAAGGGTGGTTTGGCTGCAGGGACCGGGGATGTCCTGATGTGACACAGTCCCACCACCAGCCTGCTGTGTGTGTGCCTCTGTGAGTGAGTTTGGTTACTGAACGCTGTCAGCAGCTGTTCTCTCTGCTCTGCACACCTGGAGTAGCCTCACCTTTATCCCCTCAATCCTGAAGCCCAGCGTGGCGGTTGAGCTGATTGTCTCCCTCCACTGCATGTAGCGGGGCTTGGTTACTGCCCGCAGCACGTTCTCCTCCTCGGTGGGGGCATCAGGGTCCACCTCGATCATCTTCTGGTACATGTCCTTCCTCAGGCTCGGCTTCTTCCGGGCCTTTATCAGCTCCTCCTCCAAGTACGTCCTGCAAGGAGTGAGGGGGGGACATTAGCAGGACCACCACATGAGGTGCCACATACCCACAGACAGCCCTTGCCCCAGAAATCAGGCCTATCCAGGATAGCTAATCCCTATGGAGGAGAGCAGCATAGGAAATAACGGAGCAAGCCTCATTGCAGGTGAATTGATCCTGATTTAATTAGTGCCCCATCATCAACACCTGATATCTTTTCAGTTCATCAAGGAACCACAACCAGTCTGGCAATAGCAAGGGAGCTTATTTCTTACAGGTGCCCATGGCGTTGCTGCTGCCCCACTGGCAGCCCCCTGCTGCCACCCCTTGGTCCTGGGGGGCCTGACCCCAATGCTCAGCAAAACTGAGCAGTGACTTAGTGGCTCTCACAAACTAAACATGGCTTTCAAGATGTGCCCAGGAAACTACCCACGTGCTCTAGGACCTGGCTGAGTTGAAGGCAAGAGGGAGGTTGCTGCATCCCAGCCCTCAGCGTTAGCTGCTGCTCCCTCCGAGGTTTGGCCAATGTGGGCGGCTGCTGCCAAAGCTGCTCCTGTGCCTCTTCTGCGCTTTCCCATCCCCTCACTCTGTGCACCACGAGGGCTGTGCCTCACCGGCTGCTAAACAGGGTGTTTTCACATAGGGCTGTTTCGCTGCTGATGATTTTGCCCAGTATAGGTCTGTTTTAAGTGGTCTATCTAGCAAAAGCTTCCTGTACAGGACAGCGCAGAGGAAGGGATGCAGCCTTGGCCAGGTGCTTACCATCACCCCCAGCATGATGCAGCTGGGATGAGAGAATGGGGGAAGGAGGATGGAGGGTGCAGAGGAGTGTGCAAAGACCTTGGTTTTATGCATCCTTTAGAGGAGCACCACTCTGTGCCAGAGCACACCAGTGGAGAACTTTGGCACTCTGGCATGCAGAAAACCATAATCCACAAAATAATACTTCCTGCAGCAGTAATAAACCACTACGTAACTCTTCTTGCGGCTCCCAAACCTGCCCCAGCTCAGCCTGGCAAGTGCCCAGGCTCTCTCCAAACACTCCAAGCCGGGTGAGATGTCCCAGCAAAATGACACAGGAATGACCCTATCTGTCGCCTCCTTCCTCCCAGATCCAAACTGCTCTACACTGCCCACTAGCCATGCTCAGCTCTGCAGAGGGGCCATGCCCTCTCCCCATGTCCCTTGTGCCAAAATCCTAGCACTGAGCATGTGGTTCACCTCCAGAACCAAGCAAAACGCACAGGGAGGATGCTAGGCAAACTATGTGGGATGGTGTTCCTGTGTTTCGCACAGGCTTTAGCAAAGCAAACTGGTGTCTTTTCTCAGGGCAGGCATATGATCACTGAGCAGACATCCCCAGGGCATCAGATGCTTTGAAAGACACTGCAGATAAAAGCGATGAAAGGCTTCAGCTGAGATCACCAAACCCATGATTTTTGGGCAGACGGAATAAAATAGCAGAATAAAGCAGTGGCATGCTCAGAAGTGCTGCTCACGCTGCTCAGAAAGCTAGATTTCCTTTTGATGAGAATGACAGATCATCTATGTCTGCAGTTCGGTTCCCCCACATCACTCCAGGCTTGAACCATCACCAGGGCTTAAGAAAGACAAAGTTTTGTTTAGGGGTGACTGGAAGAGGCTGCCGCATCCCAAAGCCAGGTTGGCAGGAAAAAAACAAACTTGTATCTGCCTGGCAGCAAGCTGCTGGCTCAGAGGACAGGTTTAATAGCCCTGAGGTTTAGTTTATCTGCCAAAGCCTCTCCTGCCTGGCCACGGGGATGCCCCGCTCCCCAGCATTAACCCAATTCACCCTCCCTCGCCAGCTCCTCCCACAGCACCATCTTATTTAACGATGATGATGCCTGGCACTTTTGCCCCCTTGCTTGCTCTGCCTGTCTTAGCTCCAAAAATCCAGGTGCACAAATCACCCGACCTGTGATTTGTGCGTGGGAGGCTTTCCTCCTCCCAGAGACAACCATAGGAGCACCCGGGCAGCATGACCAGCAGGTCTTCTTCTGGTGGCTGTCATCTCTGGGTCCAGAGTGGGTCCTGTCTCCTTCCCGTGGCAGCATCGTGTGTGCCAGCTGAGGCCACGTGGCTGCACCGGGGCCCCCTGCCCTTCTCTCCACCCCTCCGGTGGAAAGTATTCCTCGCTTCTTCCCTGCCGAAAGCCCGACACACCAGTTCGAGTTTCACGTCGGGAGTTCAGGAGGGGAAAAAAAGATTCCTCCCTCCCGCAGAAACCATCAGCTTTTCCAGCAGCGCAAGCGTCTCCACCACGTCTGGGCTGCGCCTTAGCCAGCGAGGGGGATCTCAACCCGCCCTGCCACCAGTCTGCAGCAGACCCAGGGCTGAGAGGTGGCCTGAGGCTGCTCCAAAACTGGCAGCCGCCTGGGGTCAGCAGCCCTGCTCACATTTGCTCTGGGACACCCTCGTCAGCTGTGGCGTCGCTAGCTCAAAAACTGCTGCTGGCCAAGTGGCTGCAGCCTGGGATCTTGGCGTATCTGTAGATGGTTCTCAAGGAGGACACGGGTAATGTTGCTCATCTGTTAGGAAACGTTTCAAGAACTTTGCATGAAAGGCACAAAACTACTTAGCACACGCATTTTATCCCTCAAGTGTGCATGGGAGCAAAGGGTGAGCAGAGGGAAAGTTTCTTGCTCACAGAAGCTGTGCCGTTCAAGTGTCTTTATTTCACCTCTCTGGCACCCTGGGCAGGATCTCCTACACCTTTTGCTCCCTGCCTCTTGGCTGTGTCCTCCTGCAGCAGAGAGAGGCAGGTTGCCGTCCTCCTAAAAGCTACTGTGCCATTCTGGTGTACACAAACCCAAACCGAGTGCTGTCCCCTCCACTGCACCAAACTACTTTCCCAGCACACGGGACAGTCAATAAGCAGAGAAGGAAAGAGCCTGGTGTGTCCTTCCTGTACCCAGGCTTCCCCATGGCTCTCTCCTCAAGCTGTTGGCTTAGCTTTTCCTGAAGACAGGTGAGCCTGGTGTTCTCACTTGTGTGTTTCAGAGGGTTTTACCCAGGAGATGCATTTGCTTTGAGTATCCCATCTTAAAACTCAAACAACATCCCCAAAGCCACTCACCTGACCCCCATTTTGCAGTCCATAACGCAGGGGGAGTCAAATTCAGCCAGCAGATCTTCCATTTGGTTGTATCGCTCCCCGTCCTTCACAACATCGCCGTGGTAGGCAGGAACATAGGGCTTCAGGACATCATTCATCAGGCGGTCGAGGCAGCGCTGCTCCGATTCACAGTGCTTCTTCAGTATCCTGCCGTTGGCCGCTGCCTTGAAACTACCTGAGGGTGACAAGGGATGATGTGGCACTTGCTTTGGAATGGGGGATGACGCTGTGCCTTCCCAAAACAAGAAGGGCAGCCCAACACCTTGGAAGCATCTCTGTTTACACCTGCACCCAAGAGTCCCAACAGGCTGGGACTTACAAGCTCGGGCTGCCAGATTCACAAGTAGTGTCAGAGGTTAATGACCAGCAATGTCACACCTTAAACAGGGCAGAGACCTGCCCTGCAGCACCCAACACATTTGCTTCATAGCCTCTGTGTACTTCGTGGTAGGTTCACACCTTTGTCTCTAGGCTCATGCGTGGGGCATGTTTGTGCTGGGCAGCATCACCTGCTTTGCTGTGGATCAGCAAGAAGGCTTGCGTCTCACCCAAAGGACTCAACTTTCTGCTGCTTGAGAAAAAAGCGGCAGTAATAACCCGCTGGCCCTGGGAGACTGAAAGCACAGAGCACTGCACCTTCACATCACCCTCCCTAGCATTTAGGTAAGTCACTCTCCTGGACTAGAGACGTGGGAACTGAAATCTGTGACATTCATGCAGCAGTCAGAAGCAATTCTGGCCGAGAAAGCCCATTAACCTGAGCTAACGAAGAGCCTTTCCACCACTCTGCCCCTCTCCATGCTCCGTACCTGCGTGTCCTGCTAGCTGGATCCAAGGGTACTTCTTCTTGAAAGACATCACAAATGGGGACCAGTGCACCATATTCTTGATCTTCCGCCATGATTTGCTCCGTACCTGCGTCCTGCTAGCTGGATCCAAGGGTACTTCTTCTTGAAAGACATCACAAATGGGGACCAGTGCACCATATTCTTGATCTTCCGCCATGATTTGCTCTAAGGGAAAAAAAAATTATGAAGGTGACTGCAATGTTTCAAGCTTTTACTGTCCGTAAAGTCACTTCAGGCAGCACACAGCTGTTTTGGACAGGGGAGGAGGCACCGGAGCCAGCGCAGGATGGAAGCAAACCGAGAATCTGCTCTTTTCCCATTGCCCTGTGCCAAGCCGGAGCCGCTGGGCCTCGACTCTACATTCAAAAATCACGAGTAACTTCACTAAAGTGGATGGCGTTACAGTGTTGTTCCAGTTGGCTGCTTCTGCTGCAGAGGGCCCAGCCATCCTGCATTACCTTGTCTCCGCTCCCTGCATCCCTCTGCAGAAGCAGCAGGGACATTAACCCATCCTTGGGTACTGCACTAGATCACGGCCGATGGAGTGGGGAAGGGAGTCCAGGATTTCTACCTGGCCACAAAACTCAACTCCAGCTCCCGCGGGGAACAAGAGACACTCGCACAAGCGTGCATAGGCTCACCGCCTGGCTTTTGTTCCCTACTGAAAGGCAGCTGCTTTGTCCATTAAGCTGGCAACCTGCGTGCAGCTGATCCGCCTGCTTTGGCCCATCCGTAACTACATTTTAGAGAACAATTCCCTTCTGACATGTTGTGTTTCTCACCAGATAGATTGCACGGAACTATTTACATGACTGTAATGAGGGCTGCATCGGACATACGAAAGCCTCCTTCGAAGGCTCTTTCCTGCGAGAGTTTTTCCCTGGATTGTTCTGGGGAACATGCCGCCAGTAAAAGGCAGGGGGATGACCTCTTATCTCGGCCCCAGAAGGCGACGGCACAAACAAATCAGGCGAACAATATACAATGGCGACAATGGAAAAATGCCTTCTTGCAGGAGCTGGGACAGACAGACGGCATAGTCCTGGCTGCTCTGAGCTACTGGGTTCAGCTGGAAGCCCACAGATAAATTATCCTCATTTGCTCTGCTCTGAAGGCACAGGAGGGAGCCTTCCAGAAAGCCCAAGTAATCTCTTCCTCGTGCTTGGAGAACTGGCCCTTGTTCCAGTAATGCTTCGCAGACAGGCGGGGAAGAGCCAGCAGCCCCGACTTGCAGTTTGGATGCTTGTCGGGGGTGAACTCACGGCACAGGAATCCATGCTGGGAACTGCTGACATGTTTAAATGGCGAGGAAGAAGCCAGACAAAGGTGTTAGTGTCTAAAGTGTGGAAATTACATCGGGTTACCCCGTGCCGTGCACCAGCCCCGCCAGGGAGCAGGGACGCATCGCACGGAGATGCAGGGGCTGCCCACATGGTGGGGACCAGGAGTGAGAGAGGGGAAGAAGAAAGGTCCTTTCCCACCTCCAAGCCCGGGAGGAGCAGGGTGGCCCTTTCCTGGATGACTGCCCATGGCCGGGAGCGTCCCGGCGCGCCCTGGCACCAGTACAGCAGTGCAGGAGTTTGGCAAGCAACTGCCCAAGCGCGGGGTGACACCGGGCATCCCCTTCGCCCAGGCTCCTCTGCGCCGCTGCTCTGCCGCCCGGCTTGCTTGCTTTGGCAGGGGGGGTCAGGCAGTTCCCTACCTGACATGAGGATGAATGTTTTTATTTCCAAAAGGAGTGCCAGAACTTGTGTGCTTTAGCTGTTCTTTGTTCTCCTTTTGGCAGAAAGCGGGAGGGAAGGGCGGGGGGATGTCCCCTCCTTTTGCTTTTAAAATAGTAACATCCAGTCCTGGTTGATGTAATGAAAAAAAAGGGGAAGAAGAAGTCTCCGAGGGAGTTTGGACTCCAGATGAGCGTGACCCACCTCCTCTAAAACAAGGAGAAGGAGTCCCCCCCTCACCGCACAGCTTAAGTCACTCAGTCCCAGGAAACACGCCAAGGCAACGCGCCTTCCCAAGCCAAGATTTTTTTTTTTCAGTGGTTAGAGCTTTATAGCTAAAACCTTGAGGTACTTCAAAGCGCAGGCAGAATGAAGGCAAGTGGCCCCCGAAGCAGGGCAAGCCATCCCGGCTTTCCCCCCGCTGGGACTTTCCCAGGAGCGATGCACTCTGCTCCGGCACTGCTCCCAGCGCAGGGTAGTGGCCCCCAAGTCCCCCGGGGAGAAAAAACACCACAAAAACCTATCTGCCGAGCTGAACAAGACAAAGCTGGTCACTGAGCACACCTGCACAAGGAACAGGTAGCATGTCCCCATCACTTTACACCGGCGGGAAACGTTTTCATCCAGACACCACCCAGTTTGACACACACCTTTGGCCCGGCATTTCCAGCCCAAGTTTTAAGGACATGTTTAAGGACATGTTTTATGGAGAGGCTTGAGGCTGCTTCGTCCATCTCAAGTCACTCCTGACTTGCTGGAAATAGGCTGCGAGACAAGTTGTCGCCGCCCTGGGGGTCACCAGCAATTCTGCTTCACGCGGCCCATTCCCCCCCGGCTTCGCAGGGGCAACCACGTGGGCACTTGCAGGAGAGAGGAGGGACCATGCCCTCTGCAATTCCTTCAGGAGCCGTCAGATTTTTGGTTTACGCCTGAGCCCCCTCCCAGTGTTATGAGGGAAAGTTTGCTTCATCAAAAGGAAGCTCTCCCGTGCCCTCAGCCCATCGCATGTTACTGCCCAGCGTGCACAGCTTGTTTTGCAGAGCAGCCTGCTGGGACCAATTTTTTTGGGGGGTGTACGTATCTATACAAAATGTCCAGTTGCTCTGTCGTGGGAATGTTCAAAAGGCAGTGAGTTTTGCAAGGGGCAGCTCCCCTACTAAACCAGCAGCTGCATGACTTCATCTGTCCACTCTCTGGGGCTGCCGACCCACTGCAGAGGAGAGATGGAGGCTGGACCATGGAGGAACAACACTGGCCAATGCCCCTAGCGATCCTGCCACCCACTTTGTCTGAAGATAAATTCTCCCGAGGTAAGGAGATGCTCTAAAAGTTCACCCTTGGTACCTTCCCTACAGCTTCAAGAGAGATGTTACGTGGCTGTGAACCAGCGGCAGGGTCCTTCACAGACA